ATGATGTTATGGTTGTGATCTAAGAGTTCTGAGTGCTCATAATCACTCTTCTGGCTGGAATATTTGGATACGATTTTGGTTATTCAGTTTTCTGAAAGTTTACAGGAAATCGACTTATCTGTCTGGTTGACTTGTTGTTCTTGAAGCTGTGTGCTTAATGCTGACTCTTCTATCCAATTCTTAATATCAATGGTGTTTGCTTTGGTTCTTCAAGCTGACTTTATTACCCCAATTTGTGAGCTGAGCAAAATAAGTTCTTAAGCTGAATGCTTATTCAACTCGTGGTTCATTGAAAGATTATTTGTTATAAGAATGTTTGCACTGGAATGTCACGAAACTCGCATATTTTTCTATCTACAATAGTTGGATGAATCAGTTGCTTGTGGGCCAACAATAATTCTGAGGTTACGGACTGTGTTGAGTTGTCTGCAATTATAGTTATACTTTGTGCAATCAGTAGTGATGAACTCACATTGAATCTTATCTTGAAGTTGATACTGAAGAGTAAGAGCTATATTCAGGAGGGAGCTTGAAGATTACATCAATGTCGGGTACACCAAAGTTTTCTTAAAGAAAGGAAGGGGGAGAAGACATGAAGCTTTTAAGAGACGCTTACTTTATAAAACTTTGGAGGAGATTGTTAGGACTAAAATAGTCCTAAGTATTAGAAAGTTCTATAAAGTCAATTACTTTGTATTGTATTGTAATATTCATGTAATTGGGCTTAAAGGGGATTTACTTGTAAATGTCACATATAAATAGTTGACACGGGCATAGATTATTCTAGTTGTTCATTATGTAATCATTCCAATGAGAGTCGATTGATTAAGAGAGAGTTTGTAGTTTACTACTTTAATGAATAAAAGAAAGCTCGTCGGTTTATAAAGTTCATCTTCTACATCTCTCAATTACTATTTAATTCTTGATTTGTTGTTAGATCTGGGATTCACAGGGTGGTATCGTGAATGTTGTCAGGTTAGGTGGTGATGGTGGAATCGGATGATGTTGTAGGGGGTGGTAAGGTGGGCACAGTTGGTAGGTAGTGGTAAACGTGGGATGGTTGTTGGTGCTTAGGGTCGGTTGCGGGAGAGTTAGGGGTGCTTGAGGGTAGTATAGGGATGGTAGTGCTTAGGGGGCGAGAGTAGGATATGGTGGGGATAGGGGTCGTTAATGATTGGGCATGGTGGTGGGGTGGTAGGATCATGTGAAACCACATTTTAATAGAAGATGAAGATTAGTTTCATCAAGAAGATCCAATGGCTAGCATTATGGGAAAAGGATGGTCTCATATGATACTAAGTCTATATATCTGGTTTGGGTTCCAGTGAGAAGATGGGTTAAGGTGAGGAACGTAAGAAGGGTCTCCACCCTTGGATACACATTATAATGAGAAGCACCAAGATGAGATGCACCGAGATGCACCAGATCAATCCTTGAATCAAGTGCGATTCATGGGGGGTTTGAGATTAAAGATGATTATGGGTCCGGATCTCTTCTTTTCACAGGATCCTTCACCTATATATATATATATATATATATATATATATAATCATAGAACCTCCTTGATCTCCCTTGGATGAGATTGCGTCAATCATCAGACGCTCCAAAAGGACGTGGTGGTTTTTTCGTAAGAACCTGGAACTTCCATGGCATTGTTGTAACTTAATCTTCTTTAGAAACTTTAATATATTTGAAACTCACCATGTTAACATAAGTTAACATGGAGACATTGAATCGTATATATTAACATACCATAACAACTTTGAATATTTATGAACATCAGTTAGCCTATCCCTATAATCTTACACATATTAACATGAATATCTTAACACATCTTAATCTACAATCTTACCATGCCTTAATGCAATCTCAAAACACTTTAACTCGTAATAAAACACAATAACTATGAAAACCTTAGCATGTCTTAATACACTTTAACATATTATAACACACCTTAACACATATTAACACATATTAACACATATTAACATATAGTAACACAATGATCTAGGTGCCTTCACAACCGATAGTTGCGAGGGTATTCGTAAGGTTCCTATGGATTTTGAAGTTCATACTAATCCTTAACACACAGACACATAGTCGGATTCACGTGAGACCAGACTGTTTTCGACAAACCCATGATATCGCTTTTTTACACTTGAAACTTCACAGTAAAACACTGTGAAGGTAAATAAAAATCTGAACCTTCACAGCAAAAACATTATGAAGATTTCCTTTATACACACACACACACATATAGTCGGTTCTCATGAGAGAGAGAGAGAGAGCGCGCGTTAGGATCATTTGTTAACCATGAAAAATGTATTAACTTTACTAAATTTTTGACCAATCACAAGCCTTTGTTAATACATGTTCATCTCCCACCATCAAATTAATTTAAGGGTGTATTTGTAATTTTATTTTTTGTCTAGATTCCAATGTCATTAATGGGATGTTATAGAACAATCAGATCCATAATTCTAGTTAAATTAATGGTTTTATTTTTTTATATGATATTGGAGATTTGTTGTTGTAGATGAAGAAACATGGATGATCATCTTCATCTTCACGGTAATTGATAACTCTCATTTTTTAGAGTTATTTATTATTTATTTCTTCCGTTTTTACATATTTTAAATACCTAATTTTCTTGTTTATCCCCGTTTATTCTAAAAGTTTTAAAAAGATGATGAAACACAAAGGATGAGAATTTATTCACCATCACTTTGAGATAGTGCTCACAGTGGGAAGTTTACGAATTTTTGGATATGGTTCAATTTTTGGAAGATGTTTTCTTGAAGATCTTTCTAAAAGATATTCTACAGTTGGAGCTTCCTTAGAAAGCTGAGTTATGGATTAAAAAAAGAATGTTGGATGGATCTTTATCCACAACATATTTGAAGGCTTCGTTTTCCTTTGGGTAGTGAAGATCATCTTTATCCACTCATCCCCTATATAAAGAAGCCAAGGGCTCATTTGAAGTTCATCCCTATATAGCACAACTCAGCTGAAGTCTCTCTACTTCTACTCTTAAGTTAAGTTGTAACATTTAATTTTCTTGTATTAAGCTTCTTAATTGTAATCTCCTGCCCACAAACTCACCATTGTGGCGACAGACTTTTGCTTTATTTTAATGAAAGTTACATTTAAGTCTTATTTCTTGTCTTATATTATGCTTTCCATGTCTATTATGAGCTAATTATTTCTATGGGTGTGAGTGTAAGTTAACTTAGGATTTTTTTTGCAATAATTAGGTGTTTTTATTCTCTATCACTTCGTGAACTTGGTCACTTAAGTCAGGACTAAAACTCAACACAGATAAGCCGATCACTTTGAAGTGTTAATATTAGATCTTTGAACCAAAGATAGGCGAATTTAAAATACGGCTTAAGTGATGCACAAAGAACTTGAGAAAGTCTTTGATAATTACGTAGAGATACGAACTTTGTACGTATTTAGCTAAGGTTTAAGCATTGGAGATTTGTATTACAAAGAGATTTGAGTATGAATTTCATTTTTTTTCTGTTTAGCTAAATCAACAAGCTTCGGAGTGGTAAGAGTGAGAACTTTGTGGGAACGGTTTATAAATCTTCACTTTCGAGAGATTGGAATTTTTACAAGCATCTCATAAGTTTCTGATCATTATATTGTTGTTTTTATCTTGAGGATTACTTACACTCATGCCCATCTTTTATTTTATAAGTCTATCTCGTCTTTTAAAGATTTTTATCAACAAAAATTCAACTTTTAATCACAAACCGAAATATTCTCAAGTAGTTCATGAAATTCTTCGATTCTCAGTACCTGTGGAAACGATCTCGGTATTGTTCCACTTTATCACTTGCAAGCGATCATAATGTCGGCGTGCACTTGCACCACCACTGTGGGGACTTTGTATCCACTGTGTAAACACGAACGATCCTAAGCTACCAGTAATCATCATCATCTTTCCTAATTGAAATATTGTTCACCAATACCGAGAAACATGTGCATAGGTGCACGTAGTGAGCTCAGTTTACCAATGAATCATTAACTCTGTGTGCATAATATGTGTACACAAATATGGAGAACTTTGGATGCATAGTATGTGTTCACATATATGGAGATGTGGTTATAATATCGGTTCATAATAGGTTCAATATTTGTATAAACATGTTTAGAAATATCGAATATGCATAATGTGTATTCTTCTATTCATAGAAACTTGTTCATATAATAAATTTAGGCACGTGTTTAAGAGCCATAAACACTTGTTCACTCATGAACAATTCCCATAAATATCGCATACTTGTTCATACATGAACCATAAACCAAAAAAAGTTGTAGAGGAATCTGGTGTCGAGATCTTGCTGTCAGTTTCGATTCGATGACGAGAGTAATTACCGAGCAGTTTTATTGTCATTAATGGACAGTTAAAAAAATCTAATTGTCATTGATGGGTAGTTAAAATACTTTCTCAAAATACCCCTTGTAAACATTGTTCACTTATGTTACCTTGTCTACGTGTGCAATTACTTACATTTATGTTATGAATGATCTCAGATAAATTTTTAAAGGTCAATAGATAAAATTAGTTCACATAGTTAACACCATGGGTTAACAAATAAACCCACCCCTATATATACATATATATATATATATAGGGGCCTAATCAAATGAGAACTAATTAGTTTGTGGTAACTGTGAGAACCAATATTAACCACAAATCAATAGATAAATTAGGAAAATTATAATTTTGGCAATTTTGAATTAAAATTTTAATGCAAGGATATTTTTGGTATTTTACAACTTTCCTCCCTCCT